ACTAGAAAATATGCGTTTTCTCTTTTCTTTCTTGAAAATATGCGTTTTCTCTTTTCTCTTTTTTTTTTTTTTTCATTTAACAAACTATTTTTAAATTAGCTGCTCATTAGCATAGTTTTATGCTACAAACATGCCGAAGTCCTTTTTTTTTTTTATAATTATTAACTAACATTTGCCTAATAATGTTAATTTTTGCATAAAGAATTACATCATCATCATCGTCATCATCATTATGTTTGGTCGATTTTGTAATATAAATTTTATTTTAATAAAATTTACGATAATTTATTAAGTGGTTGTTGTTTTTTTTATCTGTCATCCAAAAATTTTTTTTTTTTTTTTTGCCAACTAAGCTAATAGTTGTAAGCTGTATCCGATCAAGCGTTTCCACAGCAACGCATGGCTAAGTATAACTAGTTTAATTATTCAATGAAAATATTCTACACTATCATGTATCAATCATATGATCATATCTTTTTTTTTTTTTTCCCCGGCAAATAGCAATAAATGTTTGTAGAAATTTTTTTTGTTTCTTTGTAAAAATAACAAAGAATTAATGAAAATTTTTAATTTACCTTAAAATTTAAAATTACTTTTTTTTTTTCAAAATTACAGCAATGATAACATAGATAAAAGATAATGTTAAAATTCAGAAATTTTTTTAAAAAGGATAAAAAAAGAGGAAAAAAAAAAGGAAACAATATATGATAATGATAAGGATGATAATCAAAAATAATATACAACGATTACATTTATCATTAGCATCGTCCATATGGTATTAACTCAAACAATACCATATAATAAAAAAAATAAACGAATAACATTTGATAATTTCAAACTAAAAATTAAAATTTAAATTTAGTAAATTGGCAAATGTTAATTTTTTTGAGAGAAAAATTATTATTTTTGTTAGTTAAAAGAATTGTTATTGTCGAAAAATTCTCAAAAATCATTCATTTTTTGCGACAGATTCATTAAAATTATTTTGAAATTAAAATTTAATTGGAATTTTTTAATCGTTGAATATTTGATTTTTTGAAAAATTCATATAGCAATGAGTAATCTGAATATTTTTTGAATTGTTTTTTTATGATGAAAATTTTTTGAAATATTTCCTTGTTAATTGTTTTTTTTTTTTTCTTGAAAGTTGCTTAAAGCGCTATTTGATTTTTTTTTTTTATTTTTGTTTTCCTATCTTTTTCAATCAATTTCAATTATTATCTTCATATAATATATTGGACTATTTTTAACTTCTAATCCTTATCATATGCTATTCTATCCTATCTTATTAATATCTATAAAATATTAATCATCCGAATTATCAGTTTTCTTTGCTAAATATAATAGTTTACTTTGGCATATACTGGATCCGAAATTTTTTCTCTCAAAAATTCTCTCATCCTTACTTAAATGCATATAATATGATATTCTTCACTTAATTGCAACGACAAGATGCTCATAATTATTTGTCACATTGTAATAGCATTTAAAGTTACTAATTGTAAAATAAAGCCAAATTTTTTATTCTTGAAGAAAAAAAAACAGCAAACATTATTTATTCGGAAATATTGAAATAATTTAAAAAAAAAAAAAAGAAAAAAAATAAATCAATCAGAAAAATAAAACAATTAAAAATAAATGAAATAATCAATCAAAAAATTTAAAATAACTTTAAACATTTTTGTAAAAGTTTTAAAATTTGAGCCTAATTAAAGGTCAAAAAAATGGTTAATTTAATTATATTGATTAAATTAATTATGGCAATTAATAACAATCTTTTAACTTACATTGAGTTAAAAAAAAAAAAATCAGAAATGATTAAACTTATATGCATTGATTAAATTAATTGTGAAAATTAATGGTAATCTATTTGGGATTTAAAAAAAAAAATCAAAAATTGTTTAATTTAAGTATATTGATTTAATTGATTATGAAAATTAATGATAATCCAGTTGGGAAATTTCATTCTTTTATCCTTTAACACTTGTGTGAAATTGGTTGCATAAGTTATTAATCTTTATAAATACTACGAAAAAGTTATGACGCAATCAATTTTAAGCTAATTATGGTAAACATTAGTCTCAAATTTATAAACAAAGTTATAAATACCTTTTTAAATGTTTTCCACAAATAGTCTAAAAATATCTTTTCCATATATATATATATATATATACCTAAACAAATGGAAATATAACATTGTTACAGAAATTAAGATTATTCCCGCGATATCTTGATTACTCATATATTTACTTCTATCCTTACTTATTTACTTATTTTATTCATTTTAACTTATTTATCTTATTCACTTGCCTTATATCTCTGTTTACATTGTTCACATACTCTTTTTTCTTCGTCTATTTACATTGTTCACACTCCTTCAACTCTTTCATTTTTCTTTTCTTTTTTTTTTTTTTCTTATTTTTAAATTCATTTTCTTGTTCATATAAGGAAAAAAAAACAAAAAAAAAAAACTAATTAACAATTAGTATTTAACAAATTTAGAATATTTGTTTATAAAAATGCCAGCAAAAAAAATACCATTTAATTTAATCAGTTTGTTAATTTGATGATTTAATCGGTTTGTTAATTTGATAATTTAATCAGTTTGTTAATTTGATGATTTAATCGGTTTGTTAATTTGATGATTAATTAATTAATTGATCAAATTGAAAATTTTTTCTTTCAAAAAAATACAATCAATATTTATTATTAATTTCTGAAGTTAATTTATATTACAAAATTTATTACCCTGCTAGTACTAAAACATAATTTATCAAGTTTGCATATGATGTTTTCATTATTGTATTTTTCCCGAAGAAATGTCACATTGGTACCTTCCGTATGTTTTTCAAGTAAGCATGATTGTTTATTTTTCAAAATATCAATTTTACATAAAATTTCATTAATTTAAATCTCGAAATATGCATTTAAAACTTTACTAAATGCGTGATATCTTTTAAGCTGTCGTACATATTTTTTCCATTTATTGAAATTAATTTTTGCAGTTTAAATAAAAAATTTTATAGTATATAGGCGAAAGAAGTGAAGAATGAAGATTAAAATAGTAATTAATTATTGAGTCTTCCATGTAGGTGAAAAAAAAAAAGGCAATAAAGTGGGCTATTAAAAGTTTCGGCAAATATAGCATAATTTTATTATTGTGAATTAATGATTTGAAACAAAATTACAATATAATTTACTTCGTCATACTAATTAAAATCGTTTCAAGAAAATAACTTATGATTGTCGTTTGACAGTTTCATTTGTATTTCTTCATCGTCATATCATTTTTGTTTAATTGTCAAGTGAACTTATTGTCCATCATAAAGTTACGGTACTAATTTTAATTCATTATAATAACCACGGTAATGTAACTACTGTATTATTTGATACAGTAGAACGACACAGGTAAAGATAATTAAAGCAAAAATAATAGGTTAATAAATTTAAGCATAAATATAAATAGATGATAGAAAAAAAAAAACAAAACAAAACAAAAAAAACAAACAAATAAAAGGAAAAATCTCAGATCGGGAGGTTAAGGAGCAACACAACAATATATTTTGATAAGCATTCTCGAAATTGATTAACTTATTTAGCAGTTAAGATTTTAGCTAAAGGTTAATTAGCATACACCAAATTAATTAGTCAAATTATTTATCCATATTTGTGTCACCATTCTGATAATGACGAATGTCAATGACGTGTACGTATTTTACGTATTCCACTTACCAACTGATTCAGCTATGTATTTTAGTTAAAAAAAAAAAATGTATTCCTCAAGTATCAGTGAAGGATTAAGAAATATTGATAAGAATGATATAAATTTATTGCGACAATCATGGTCGGTTATAAATCGAAATCTTGAAAAAACTGGTGTCAATATCTTTAAAATGATATTTAATCAATGTCCTGAAGCGAAATATGTATGAATTTTTTAATTTTCATTTAAAATTTATAATTAAGTTTAAAAATCAACTTTATTACAATTTTATATATTGGAAAGGAAAAAAAAATCACTGATTAATTTGATTGATCGAATTCGTAAATGAATGATTTAATTAAGTGATATGATTCAATCTAGGTTTTTTTAAACTTTTTTTTTTCTTTTTTATAGATTAACTCATTCTTTTTCAGCTTTTTCCATTCACGGATACTTCAAAAAAAGATAGTGATTTCATCAGATTTCATTCCTTACGATTTATGCAGGTAAAAAGTAAAAAACTTTTCATGTTTTATATTCTTTTGTAGCACAATTGACAGTATTCCTTTTTTAAGCACAATTGACAGTATTCTTTTTAAGCATTATTAACAGTACTCTTTTTAAGCATTATTGACAGTATTCTTTTTAAGTGCAATTAACAGTGTTCTTTTTAAGTATTATTAACAGTATTCTTTTTTAAACGCAATTGACAATATATTTTTTAAGCGCAATTGACACTATTTTTTTTAAGCGTTATTTTAAGCGACAGTATTCCTTTTTTAAAGCAAAAGTATTCTTTTTCAAGTGCAATTGATAGTATTCCTTTTTTGAGTGCAATTGACAGTATTCCTTTTTTAACCGTATTTGACAGTATTCTTTTTTAATTACAATTGATAGCTATTCTTTTTTTTTTTTGGCCCAAAATACTCTTAAATTCTGAACAATGAAAGGATAGGAATGAAATGAAATTTAGCAAGAATAATAGCAAATAATTTTCTATGCAAATAAAACAGAATTAAAATTAATATAATTCTATATTACTAATATTTAGTAAATTTTTGCTATAATAACCTTTTACTATTCAAATTAATAAATGTCACTCTATTTTTATTGTATATGCAAATTATGAAAGTAATTGCGCAGGTTATAAAAAATGAGGAATGATTATTATTCAATAAATTGAAGGATGAAAAAATAAAATAAAATTGCTAAATTGAATTGCAAAATTTATTTAATTAATAATTCTATCAAAATTTAACTTGCCATTTGTTTACTTATTAATTTAGATTGGAATTGTAATTGCAGGTGGAAAAATTTAGCGGCATTAATTTATTGATGCATCGATTTATTTAAGTAAACAATTCCTTTTTGCGAATTAATTTAATTTCATTCATTACTTTATAAAATTTTAGGCAATAGAAAGTATTATTAATTCCATAGAGAATTTAAATGAAATCGATCCATTGTTAACTAATCTTGGTCATGTGCACGGCAAATTAAAGGTAATTAATGTGAAGTATCGTTTTTTTTTTTTTTTTTAGATTCATAAGGGTAATAGTGATATTTTTTGATATTATTTGAATCAAATTTAATTTAGAAAAATTTTTACATTTAATTATTTATTCGATTAGTAATCTTCTTATTATGATAATATTGCTTCCTTAACTTTTTGGCTAGTTTTTTTTTTTTAATACTCAGTTGCTTGAATTTAAAAATTGAAATTTAAAGAGCAAAATGGAATTGAAATGATTAGGGATGGAAAACGAAAAAAGGATGTAGGAAATTAGGAAAATTTTAACAAAGTAAGGAAGAAATGAGAAATAAATTTCAAACTATTTTCAATAAATTATTCAGGAAAGACTGGATTTCAAACCGGAATACTGGAGCGTTTTCCGTGAATGCACATTGTATCATTTTAGACGAGGTTTGGAAAAAAATAATGTCATTGGCAAGTTGGTTCTTTCCTGAGTTTTTTTTTTTTGTCTCATTAATTTATCATTTAATTCATTCGTCAATTTATCATTCAATATATCGATTTATTAATTTGATACACAATTTTTTTTTTTTTGTTAGTTTCATTTAAGATTGATAAAGCTTTCATTTCTCCTATGCAAATATATCATAAAATTTGCTTAATAATGGCCAAGTTGTTTTCCTTTTTGCTAGCTTATATTAGCCAATTGAAAGATTATTGTTTGCTTAGATTCCTTGCTTTTGGCTAATTAAAATATTGTCTTGCCTTGCTGAATTTTTCGTCCTATTTTAATAGCATTGCCAACAATCTGAAATCATGATAAATTTGATATGAAGATTAAATTTTATGAAAATTTAAACCGATTTTAAACCATACTGTTTCATTATCAAAATTAATTAGCAAAATTAATTAGTGAATTAATCCGTATGATTTAATTACTAATCGAAATTAATTAGTGGTTAGTAGTTGAATCATACTGTTTCATTATCAAAAATTAATTTGGTATCATTGGCTTTTAACGTTGAAATTTTCGAAGTAATTATATCACTTGGAATTTTTTGATCTTTATTTATTCCATTGGCGCTTGTATAATATATCTGAGAGAAGTAAATTTGTCAGATATCATTATTAAAAAAAACAAAAAAAAAAATCGGTTACAATTAATTTCAAAGTGACAAATTCATATCAATTTAATGTTAAAATTGAAAATTATCAAATATCAAATATTTATTAAACTGGAAATTGTCAAATATCAAATAATCAATGTTTAAATTGAAAATTAACAATTTTATTCATCCCATTAAAATGAATAATTCCTTTTTATAGAACTCGAAAACTTTTTGGCATGCTAGATTCAACACATTCCAATGTTGATTATTTGATTACCTTATGGGGTATGCTCTTAGATCATATGATCGAAGCGATGACAACATCTTTTCGAGCTGATGTTCGAACAAGGTTCAATTGTCATTTCCTTTTTTTTTCTTTTGGTAAATGATCAAAGAACGATTGAAAATTTTTCAAGAATTTCGAATTAAACAAAAAAAAAAAAAAGAAAGAAAGAAAAATAGCGAATTAAATGTATGAATGAAATAAATTTGAATAATTTTTAAGGGAACTTAATAAGAACAGGTGGGTGCAATATGAGGATGAACAAAATAGCAATTATTTCGAAGAAAAGAAAGCAACGATGAAAATGCAACGAACTAAACAGTAATTTACATATTTATTAATTAGGCAATTAATTGGATAGAAATGAAATTATTTAATCTCACAAAAATTTGAATAAGGTATGGCAAAAGAAAAAAAAATGAGAAAAAATTTTTTTAATTTTAAATCCTATTTTTACAACGAAATTTTTTAAAGTCTTCGTTTTTTTTTTTTTTNTTTTTTTTGCATTCATTCATAAATAAATATTACAAAACATTTTTTGGCATAATTTTTGGAAATTTCACATAAAACATTTCCGTTAGTACTTGCAAAAATTTGCAAGATTAGGAAAATTAATTACGAATATTAATTACAAAATTCATTTAATTAATTTTTTTCTCTTTTTTTAAGAACGAAAGCAAATGAGGAACAGAATAAACAAAAGAGGTCTTGTTGTGGATTTCAATGCTTTCAATTTCAGCAACGATGCAATGATCAGTAATCATGCATAATTTTTTCAAACAAATAAATTAATTAATTTTGGATTATTTCAACTTAATAAAATTAAAATTAAAATTAATTTTATGAAAATTATTTTATTAATCACTAATAAAACTAGTATAACATTTAATTACATTTAATTCCAAAATTTGTTGAAAATCAAAATCTTTTATTTAACATTCGTTGTTTGTTAAGCAATCAATCAATTAATCAATTATTAAGTTAGCTAATTTTCTAATTATTCGATCAAGCATCATTGTCAATGAATATCATTTGTCTATGGGAACAGACAGGTTTTCTTCCATTCTTGATATTTGTTGATGTCTGTCTTTTTGTTCAAATATTGTCAATTTAAATGGAGGTGACAATTTTTTAAAGTGACATCATTTAACCGAGGTGACAGTTTTTAAAGTTTTTAATTACAATTTGACTAAATTAATTCACATATTCATACCAAAAATTTGTGAATTTTAGCAACTATAAAAAAAAAAAAGAAGTATATCATATAATACGATGAATGACGTCGTTTCGCAACCAAAGTTAATAGATGACGTCGAAATATTTGATTATTTCAGTACTTATACGATACAAAATGACATATGCATCTGTCACCATGTTTTCGCAACCAATTTATTCTTCTCATTTATAAATAAATTACCAAAGTAATATTATGCAACCGATATTTACATACGAAATGGATGAATGTTAAATAAAATGAGATCAAATGATATAATGTTTAAAATTATTAAATTATAATTTATAGTAAGAGAATATATAGCAAGCATATTTATAACAAGCAGTAATTTATAGCTAATCATATATTAACCATAAAAATAGGAAATAAATGATATGTTTAATTGCATTTACATCAAATATATTAACTTTTTGTTTTTCGAACTCTTTCTTAACTTCTTAAAAGGGATACAATTAATATAACTTTGACAAAAATATTCTAAAATGTTAAAAAAAACTCCAATATAAAGTGTAAATATGTATGTGTGCATGTGCATGTTGTATGTGTGTGTGTGTACGTGTGTGTGTGTGTATGTGTAGTATGT